TAAGGGCCTTCAATACGTCTAAGTAAAGTACTATAACAAATAAATTAATTGACTAATAGTAATAATTAATTGACATATCAAAATACTGAATATTTCATAGCATATTTTACTATATAATATAACTTAATACTCATGCATAATCTTACTAATATTATAAATGTAAATGTTGGGATGGATGGATGTTTGTCTGAAAGTACTCGTATCTCCAGAGCGGCTGCGTAGATCTCGCTGAAATTTAGCATAGATGTAGAACATAGTCTGGAAGAACATAAAGGCTACTAGTTTTTTTTTATTAATAATATGCACGGGCGGAGTCGCTGTGGCAGCTAGTATATTTGTATAGTATTCTTTATGACGGGTTATTTATTTGTTTTTACTTTCCATGTCTTTCAATTACATAGAAATTGTACGGAGTAGTGAATAATAACAGGATCTAAATACTGTAATTTCTCTTTACAGTCGCGTCTGTAATTATTTTAATAATCCAAATGTTGTACAACACACATGAGAATATGGAAACTCCGACTAATTTAGTAATTTAATTTGGTAACTATCGTTGTGGAAAAAGGTTTTTGTTGTTTTAAATATCTAACTTAAAATTAGTTATCTATGTTATATAGACAGATTTTTTTTATTTATTTCAACTGCATAGCATCCTTACAGTGTATAACCAATTCGACACTATACGCATTTTATATAATAGATTATACGATAACGTATTTTATAAAAACAAATAACACATGCCAATGATTGATAAGAGAGCGTCGATGACTCAGGGGTCAAGCACTTGACTTGCAATCTGCAAGTCCTGAGTTCGAATCCCGCCATGTACCAATGTATTTTTCGATTTACAATTTACATATGTACATTTATCCGACGTTCTTACGGTGAAGGAAAACATCGTGATGCAACCTGCACATATCTGAAAAGAAATTCAAAGATATGTGTGAAGTCAACCAACCCGCACTCGGCCAGCGTGGTTGACTATGGACTAATCACCCTTAACTTAGGGTAGGCTCCGAGCCCCTCGGTGAAGACTTATAGTGAGCTGATGATGAAACTTTATATCACTTTGTTTCGATTGTGCTAATTAATTGATATTTTACAATGATTACAACTTTTTGTGAAAAAAAAACGTTCCTAGAATCTCGTCATTTCTTTTTCAAGAGTTTAATACAGCTTTTTCTGGTAACAAAATATACGGAAAAGCTTTTAATATACATTTCTAGGGAATTTTAACAGCGGCCTTTTAATTTTGAGACGATAATATATATTTTTTGACTGACTTTACACATATTTATGTAAATAGATATTCTGGTTTTAAAAAAATTAAGCTCTTTAAACTAAAAATCTTGTTACAAAAATTACAAAATAATATAACAAATGGTTTTTTTTAAATTCGATAATTTTTAGTCTGCAATTAATTTATTTTTTTGGATGCAGTAATCGGTCAAGTTTTCGTGAGTGCTCTCTACTCGTTCGAGATCGTGTCGTGTGAAGAATTCTTCCAAAAATTTCCTTATAATTTCGAAGGTGCGAACCTGACGGAATATTTTACCGAACTTTGATAACTATCGAAAACATCCCGTAGTTATTGATACGATTGGATTTTGAGTATAAGTTGGCGAACTAACAGTGTCCTACGCAGACTTATTAGAGTGTATGTTGTCCTTAATCTCAATAATATAAATGCGACTGTGTTGATGGATGGATGATGACAGCATGAATCTCGCTGAAATTTGGCATACATGTAGAACATAGTCTGGGCAAACATATTTTTTTATTCATATGGATTCGCGGGTGACAGCTAGATCAGTTATAATTTTGTAAGTTGAAATAAGTAAAAAAGTGTGTCGTAGTATTTCTTGTCGTCTTGCAATAATGACTTGTCTTTATTGTTTATATGTATTTTAAGATAAGAAAATAATTAGAAAATAAAACGACGATATTTCAAAGCTAGATAATTGAGTTAAATACTGCAGACGATTCTGTAGGAAACTATATCATTTGTTCACGCTTCAATAGAGTCGCAATTCAGCAATTATCTTTTCTACAATCAACTAAATTGCTGTTCTCACTTTAATCCTCTTTCTTTTAATTGCCTTTAGAGGCTCTAAAGGCGAAACTTAAATCTGTAAAAGAACTGGTAATGGTCATAATAGCGCTCCGAGTAGAGGGAAAGTGTAAATGGCTAAATACTTCCTATTTCCTATCCTTTATTACTAAATTTGCACTTGCTTTTTATGCAAAGTTTTCAAGACTCGAAATAAGAATTATGTTATTAAAATATTTCCTTAATGCTATTCTTAAATAATTTTTAAATACATTTGCTTTTTACTTTTAATTCGATTATTTTTGGATTAAATTTTCTGTGTCAAGTGTTCGCCACTCGTGTCGTTTGTTAAAATTTGATTCAGTACACAATCATAGTTGAAACAAGTCACGCCCCAGTTTCACTTGCAAGAATTTAATATCGTTTGGAATTGGCAAAATAATAAACTTCGATGTCAGTACCAGGAAATGCAATCACGTCAGTTGGAGGGTGTAATTAAATATTAATTCAGTTGCGACGGTCTCGTTGACTTGTATTTTGTCGATTAAACCCCTGATAAATTCTGATGGGTTACTTTTTAATTTTACAAAAATATTGACTTCTTACTGACCCTTAGTATTGTATATACAATTAAAATTACCTAAACACTTGTGAGACCAGAGAGAGTCAGAGAGAGGGGTAGTTAACCTAATGTAGCCGCAGACTTGTTACATACTTTTTCTAGTACAAAGTGTAGCGACCACGAACAAAGTCTAGTAAACACTTACCTTGATAAAGAAACCTCGATGGGTCTGAAACTAGTTGGTGCTAACACACGTCGTTGGCTCAGGGGTTAAGCATTTGACTTGAAATCAAGGTCCTGGATTCGAATCCCGTGGTGTATCACTTTATTTTTTTTAATGAATAATGTACATTTATGCGACTTTCCTACAGTGAAGAAAAACATCGTGATGCATACGCCACGTACCTCGAAAGAAATTAAAAAATAATGTAATTATTGCAACACACATTATCTTTTATAAATCTGTTTCGTCCGTGAAAACATGCTCTAAGATTTATTGAATGATTTAATCCATAAACATTAATCATCATTTCAACAATCTGTTTCACTTACGTCCTCTGGCGTAAATTTATTTTAAATATATTATAAATCGAAGTCCAACGTTCGTAATTAGTGTCATTCATCAGATTTTCATTTTCGATACCGTTATTAAAATAGTTTAATTAACATTTTATCTCTTAAAATCCGAAAGCAATTTTCGATGTTAAAATATTATAATTTAAAAACAACGAAATTGGATTTTGTTTGCACATTAATTTAATTTATTAATTTATGTTTGTAAACTTAAAAAAAAACTGTCTTGGTTTCATTCACATCTTTGGTATGTTCGTTCGATTCGATATATAAAAACTATTTTTCAGTTACATTAGTATGCAGAAAAAAATACGCATAGAAAATCACACCATAGCAGGGTCGTTATAACAATTTAGTAATTTAATAACAACTCTCTATTGATAAATGCAATAGTGATATTATATAAAAACACAAATATTGACAATGTTTTGTAATAGATAACCAAATATTTGAACGCTCGATTCCAAATAACCTTATCTTGAATATTCGAAAACATTCAAGTCATGTTCGGAATGTTAAACAAAATGAAACATTCCTTCAAAGCCAATAACAATATAGATTTAACAAAGTGCAATATGAGGGTAGTTTAAAATCGATAAAGCCTTTTCCACGCCATTGATTCGCACGTAGTCTCGAGCGAAGGTCTGCGCTTTCCTTTGAACCTTAATAACTGAGACGATCACAAAGGCTTTCGAGAACAAGTGATAGAAAGTTAGTATTAGTACGTTATAATATTCTCTTTAATTAAAGGGAATTTTGAATGTCGTTCAAAGATCTTAGCGTACATATGTTGAAAACTTGATGTGATAATTTGACGTTATATACAGTCCTTCTTTGGTTTTATGTAAACATATTTCTGAACACAATATTACCTTATTAAGAATAAGATCGAATAAGGCTATACTAACTTTTAAAAATAAAAGATACAACGATTTTCCAACGGAATTAAATAATAAATGATAAATTAAGAGTGATTTTGTTAATAAATAAATTCGAAATAACTGCGAACGTGTAAAGGAGATTTAAATAAATCACACTTAACAGCGCGATAAACCATAAATTCTGTTACATTTTAAAATAAAACATTCTCCACCATTAAAATTGAACGTAACACTGTTTATTTGTGGCCATGAATGTGCCCTAAGGCAGTAAACGTCTAACGAAGAATTTTTAAAAGAAAAGAAGAAACATGGAATCGAAATATGAAACTTTGGACGTCGCAGCGATCGAAAGAGGAAAGTGGTAGCCTCAAGGGACTAAGTCTAGCCAATCAGGAAAATACCTTTATCCACTCGACAACTTACGAAAGATCTCATATGTGATAATCTTAAATACACGATTCATGAAAGTATTTTTCAAAGGGAAACGCTCTACACGAAAAAAATGAGTATAACAAACGCACTTTAAGGCCTTTGGTGGTCAACTAAGGAAGACTTTAGAGTTGCTTTACTATATCTCTGAATCTGAACTAAGGGACAGTTTAAGTAATTATTGAGACCCCGATTGTTGCAGTTAGTAAGTATTTTTTCTATAATTACAGTATGTGTTTTCTTGTATAAATGAAAAACAAATCTATTATTTAATTTAATGACTTACAATTATCGCAACCCTTTAGCATTCATGTCCAGGATTGAACAAAAATAACTACATCTATATTCTGTCGGTGTGTCATTACTGTCTGCCTGCTAGGTGCAGAAACACCGGCTCGCTGAATTAATAATGCTAAACGCTTATAGCGTAATTATAAGGCAGCGACGTATTGTGTTGGACCATCCTGATAATACCACTTATTAGAACTCACGCTGTACCTACCTTGAGCCTTTGACTTTCCTCTTGACATCTGAAACAAAAATTGAACACATTTAGAAACTATTTTTGTATTTTTTTGAATATTTACATAACATGGGTCGTTTTTGGGGATGTGTTTGTTTAAAGTAAACAAAGGTTAAAAATAACAACTTTAAGTAGTGAATTCGTTTACAATCCGCTTCAAAACTAATACATTTAGAATCTTTTAAAGTTATATTTTCACATCATCCTGTATCTATAGTTTTATTCAAACAAATATCAAATTGATCCAACAAACAAAAGGTAATCAAATAAAATGTTTAATCTATGAACTTTCATGAATATGGCCAGCAAAATAAAGCTTGACAAATGGAAATATAAATGGTATATCATACGTAATCATTTCGTGTCAGATTGATATCAGAAAATTGTTCAGTTTTGTGGCGTCGAGCCGTCGCAGTGACGCCCAATGCCGTGCGCTGCGCTGTAATAGAACCGCACCGGAATACGAGCGAAGTAGCCTCGCGTAGCATGTACTACGGATAATGGAAATAAAATCTGATACCGCATAATTGTACTTACACTACGATCAACAAATATACGATAAGACTGATCGTTTTTCTTTAATATAATAAGAAATCTTACTAATATTAAAAATAAATTAGACATTATTAGGTAGAAAACTTTGGCGCAAATGGCTCGCTTTCGTTACCATGTCAAGTGTCAGATTGATTAGTAAGGGGAACATAAAGGTTGACATTTTAATAAGGCTAGTGTTGCGGCGATACATCGGCATAGTATCGAATTTTCTTCCTAACAAGAAGCGAATGTTTGGTTGGATGTTTGTTAGAAGGTATCTCCTAAACGGCTGCATAGATCTTTCTGAAATTGGAACGTAGCCTGCAAGGACACATAGGCTACTTATTAAGTTTTTTGTCCACGCGGACAGAGTCGCGGGCAACAGGTAGTACAACATTTATCATAATCGTCGTGGTAAATGTTATGAATACGAATTGCTAAGTTTCTCTTCTATAAAATGCAAAATTTTTCAAAGAAAAATAACAGATATCTTAAGTTACACGTGTGCTATAAAAATAACGTTTACCCTTGTCAGAGTATTTGTAAACAGAAAATATCGATTCACCTAAAGCTCCCCTTGCCGTTTACTACATGACCCAGTCACGTACTGGTCTTTGAGTTGCCGATTATTTGCGATAACCTGTGATTACAATCCCCTGATGTATAAGAAATAATTTTTAACTCAGAATTTGTTGCTGAATTTAATACATATAGAACGTGTATATATATATATATATATATATATATATATATATATTTATAACTCAAAAACAGCTTTACCGATATGGCTAAAAATTGGTGAGGAGGTAGCGTACCGCCAGGAACGGCCATAGGATACTATTTTTTTTTTTTCGAATTTTTGCCTTGAAGAGCTGTTTTTTATTTAACTTACTAATATTATAAATGCGAATGTTTAGATGGATGTGATGTGGATGGGTGGGCTACACTGATTAAGTTTGTTTATATATCCACGCGGACGGAGTCGCGAGCGACAGCTAGTATTGAATGAAAACGGTCAAATGTATCATGTTATTAAAAGTAAAAATAGCTGAATGCGACATAATGCCGTTACGCATAAAGGGTTTATGGCTATTTGCATTAAACAAACACAAAATAACCGTTAAACAAAAACACTTCAGTGGAATTAATTCAGCTTTAAATCATAACGGCAGTGAGTTCTGCAATTAATTGCGTGAAATAACGTTATCAGTGATGCGGCACATTATAGCGCGGAGTGTTTGTTAGCATGTACCATAATAAATAACGGACACTAAGCTGATTAGCATAAAATCGCCACGAAATTCTCCGCATTACCCAAAATCTGCTAACGAATGGTGGCTTTGCATAATTGAACGATTCTAAAGTAAACTTGGGGCATATGGTATACGATTCTAAAATGATTCGCACTTTTTAGCAATTCTAATTGTAACGTATCACGTGATCGTACATAAAGCTTTTAAAATATTTTTTTTTCTAGTTTATCGTTTGCTAACATAGACAAATCTAAATTTTTGCATTCGTTTTCTGTCCTAACAAATTGTTTGTTTTGCGCTCTGATTCATTTATCTATTTTTCATTGTTGCAAAAATAGTCGAGTTAAAAATTATTCGAGTGCTTTTGTCTGTAACATCGCTAAAACAACAAGAATCTATTATTTCATTTTGAATCAATGAAAGTAATAAGTGCCCAATTATTTGCAATATCAATTAATCTACTCGCATGTGCATAAAATTGTTTTACTTAAAAAATGTGCATATGAATGCTTCGGAACTCCAACTATTGAAGCGAGTTTTATTTTTTCATCTTTCATTGTTACTAAAGTTGATGGGGTATAAATTGCCAGATACAATAATCGACGAACGTCTGTCGCCTTTCATTTATATAATTTGAATTGAATTTTTAAATATTTTGATAATTGAATAGTCGAGATTCAACCTTAAAGTTATTTATCTCTAAGATTTTGAATTCATAAATACAAAATATTCAGACATTGTTATATAACCGTAGTGATTTGATTAAAATAGTAAGCAAAAGCAAAGAGAGATATCGTTAGTAGTAACACAAAGATTTGTTCTCTGTTCGTCGCCGACCTCGTGAATTGCTTCTAGTTTGATTCCGTTTGCGTTGCCGGCTAACTGAGATGCAGCAATTAGACCTCTGCCGATGTTTCCCAAAGGACTTTATGCTTTCTAAATATTTCAGTTTGAATCCATAAAACAATGCTCTGTGATATAAATACTTATTTTCTATTTAATTCCTATTTCATTGAATTAACATACTCCAATAAATGTTAACGTTCGTAGTAAGCGATTGCAAATAGTAAAAGTTTTATTCTCACGATATTCAAACATTGAAAGTTTATATAAAAATTATTGAAATTTATAGGCATCAGAAATGATAATGTCGCCAAGTAATTTCAAACTCGTTGAATTGCAAATACGAGGAGGTAAAACATTGTTTGGCGTTTTCTGTTTTCCTTTAAAGTTTTCGCAAGTTTGCATGTAATTGCTTAATACCAGTGCGGCTATGTTAAACTTGTTCCGTGGTCTAAACTGTATTTATATTTAGTAGAAGAGCTTTGATACTTTATTGCTTTAAGATAAGCGCCATCTCTTAATTAATGGTGATGTTATTATAGGCAATGTTCAAGGTATAAATATGGGTCTAATATTTCACAAACAATATGATGTAGTGCTGATAAATAGTTTGTATTATAAATTGTAAGTGCAAAATTTAGAAATTTAAATTAATATTGATGCTCAAAAATGTCTATTTACGCAGATGCGTTGCAGGCCTACCTAGAGGTAATCTCGCTTCGTGTAGGACGGTTTTGGAAATTGTAGCGGTTGGGAAATACTGCCGAGGACAGACCATTCCACAACGTGGAAGTGCGCGACAGGAAGTTGCATTAAAATACATGGTTGAGGATTGCCAGCCATCAAGATTGTGTGAATGGTAATTGGTCTGTTGCATCGCCCGATGATGGAACTCAGCGAAACTTTTTCACTGTGAATAAAATTCATTGAAAGCTTTAAATTAAAACTGCGATGACATAAAACTCAAACGGCGTTATTTCGCCGTCATGATCCTAGTCTACAAATTGCATGCAAAATGTTTAGCGAATAGTTCATAGAATAACCGGCGCGGCGGCGTACACGGAGCTTAGCGAACTCAAATTGTCTTCGTAATTACTCTTTGTTTGAAAATAAGCAATGTTTGTTATTTTTACTCGTGTCTCTTGTCTATTTATAAATAATTTAAAGTATCAGAAGTGTACCTATCAAAAATCACAAAAAGAAAAGTTACTCACTACAATAAACAGAATGCTAAGGGAAATACCATTTGAAAAATTAACATGAACTGCTGAAAACTAAATCTCTGCCAACGATTAAATAATTTATTCATTTGATGTAGTTACTAGTGGAGTAATAACTATTTAAAAGCTAAGATATGATTTGGCAATTTATACAGCTAATTCTAATTCCAATTGTAAGGCTTTGAATCTAAGGTGTATTGGGAAAAGACAGCACAGAACGAGTCGCAAAATGAAATTATTTCAGAAAAACGCCATCTATTGACGCATTTTGGAACTATACGAAGCCACAAAACAACTTGGTTTTGAGCGACATCTTTCGATGAAACCTGTAACTACTACCAAACTCAGAATACAAGCTAAGAGATGGCGCTTATTTTTAATTATTTAGGTAAAACTTTCAGCATGCTTACAATATTGATTATTTTTAGAATTGTTAACAATACGATAAGCTTTTCATGAGATAACAATATAATAGGATAATTATGAGTTGTAGCAATGAAATTGTCTATTAGTAAGTTAATCGCGAATGAAATTGTTAAAACACTCAGTTTTAAATAATTTTATTACAATGAAGTTTACATTACGTATAACATAATATTAGTACATAATTTGTGTTAGTTATAGAAATCATAAAGTCAGTATTTTTTTATAGAACTATTTGTTTATAAGTATAGCTTTGAACTATGCTGAAAAATTATGAATAATCTACCATTAAAGGTAAAATAGTGTTACTCAATCTTACTGACCTGGGTAAGTAACTTCAATTTGTCTTCATTACGTGTGATAGAGTCGAAGTAATAATCACACTTTGAAATATTATGTTCATCACGCCCTTTCTTTTTCAGTACGAGCTTTTTCTACATTGTATTACTATGATTACTATTAATTAACTTATTTATTACTTAGCTTAATGACATCGGTTAAATCACACATCGGTTAGCGACTAAAACTGTACATCTCAGTGTAACATCACATAATTGTAACATAATTATAATATCAAAAATATAGCAGGACGATCTAACAGGAGGCAAAAAAATAATAAATAATATTTTACATAAAAAGCTTCAGTGGATATTTTTTCATGAAAATATTATGGCGTTTTTGTCGTTTATAAAGTAATATAAAAGTTTGTTAATTAGCTGGATTCAAGTTTGTTT